CTGAAGCTTATGATAATCATATCCGTATGGCCATCTTTTTTATATTAATATAATTCCATATATACTGGCAATACTGGCAATACTGTGACAATACTAATAATAAAATAAAAATATTAGGAATAAGCAGTATTGCTGGCAATACGAAAACAATACTAACATTACAATAGCAATGCTAGCAATAAAATATTGTATTGCCATAATTAGCACTCACTATACATTTTTCAAGTAGTGGTTGCTCCCTCGCCGAGCGCATACCGAAGTGATGACGTAATCGACCACGGCGCCGCGCGGCCCTCTCCCCTTCGCTTTTCGTCGAGCGACCCGCTCCCCCTCGCTTTTCGTCGCGCGATCCGTCCCCTCGCTGCTCCGCGGGCGCCGTTCAGATAACCAATTATTGCGTATGAAAAATATTCACGGCTTCTGCAATTATTCGTCTTTTACATGATTTTGACAAACGGGTATCGCCGTATATTTCACGTTTTGCTTTGTGGCATCTCTAGCACAATCTTCTTTTAAACGTAATTAGTAATTATTCGCGTGGGATATTTTTGATATTCCAACATTATGTCTCAATTTTCATTATTCTTTTTAATGATTCATACTCTTAAATAAAGATTGATAAAATATTCTATATATGTCCTTTATATAAAGATACATGCAAATTTTCTTAATATCGTGAAACAATTTGCGCTAAATACGCTTCGCCAAAAGTACTAAATATCTTGTTAATCATTATTTAATTTTTTAGTTAATAAATTAATTTAAGACCCTACTATTACTGCAAATTATCTGTGTTTCAGAAATTCTTTAAACTTACGTATGATGCCGATCACGGCTCGATAAAATAACATACGAATTACTTAAAATAAAAAACATTAAATAAGTTTCAGAAATGTAATTAAAATACTAAACGGTAGAAATTAGTAAAATACAGATACGACTTGTTTAAAATAAAAAATATAAAATAGTTTTCGGAAATTTATATAAAATATTAAATAAGAAATAAGTCAGAAGTGTAGTTATTTAAAATAATGGATACTACTCATATAAATAACTGTTTTAATTTTTCATTTAAATTGTATACTTTAATTTTCATCGCTTTTACAAGTATATAAAAATTTTTTAATGGTTCTTGAATATATCTTGACATCTTTAGAAAGTATTTGTAAAGTTGTACATTTATAACAAATTATATATAAATTATTATAACTAAATGTAGTTAACAAAATGGGACGTATGTACTTTTTCATACAAAAATGTAAAACTCCGAAACAAAAGATTTAAAGGAAAAGTATATTTCAATATCTCTTAAAATTGATATTTTTGTTTCAGAGTTTTACATTTTTGTATGAAAAAGTACATACGTCCGATTTTGTGAACTATATTTAATTATAACAATTTATATATAATTTGTTACAAATATACAACTTTACAAATACTTTCTAAAAATGTCAAGATATACGTAAAAACCATTAAAAAATTTTTATATACTTGTAAAAGCGACGAAAATTAAAGTATACAATTTAAATAAAAAATTAAAAGAATTATTTATACGAGTAATAGTCATTATTTTAAATAACTACACTTCTGACTTATTTTTCTTATTTAATATTTTATATAAATTTCAGGAAACCATGTTATATATTTTATTTTAAACAAGTCGTATCTGCTTTTTATCAATTTCTACGATTTTGTATTTTAATTAAGTTTCTGAAACTTATTTTACGTTTATTATTTTTAATAATTCGTATGTTATTTTATCGCGCGAGCCATGATCGGAATTATACGTAATTTTAAAGAATTTCTGAAACACAGATAATTTTCAGTAACAATAGAGTGTCTTAAATTAATTTATTAACTAAAAAATTAAATAATGATTAACGAGATATTTAGTACTTTTAGCCAAAGCTGTAATTAACACAAATTATTTTACGATATTAAGGAAATGTGCATGTATCTTTAAGGAACATATATAGAATATTCTTTGCTTATTTAAATATGAATCATTAAAAGAAATAATAAAAATTGAGACATAATGTTGGAATATTAAAAATACCCCACGCGATTAATTATTAATTACGTTTAAAACAACCTATTCAACTGCCACACGTATTGTTTTACGCACGATCAATTCCGCGTCGTTGTCCCGAACAAGCATCGCACTCGCGCGTTTGAATTGACGAAATTGACGACGAAAGATGCTATACGTTTGCGCGAGCAGCCGTGCTACGAATCGCGTGAATCCCGTAAAACAGTCACAATGCGCGGAATTTTCGATGGACTGTATGACCTACTGCCTAAAATACGATCTCGAATGCCAAGACAGCGCATAGTGAGTCAAAAATTAAATGCGTACCTGACAAATCTCGATCCAATTACTCAGTCATGCCTTTGTGTCCGAACGGTGAAGACGGAAAGTTGATTCGCGGCCATTGCTGGACACTTTGAAGATTCACTGGCTAGGCATCCTCCGCTTTCGTTTTCACCCTTTACTGCACCTGAAACACATTACACATTCACATGAGACTCAATATACGCACGAAAATATATATTCACATAATTTCGACGAGCCGGGTCGAAAAGAGACGCAAAATTCACCTCATTTAGTCTCCGGTATTCCGCGAACGCGGCTAACTTCGCGATTCCACTGTACTCGATCGCAACGAAAAGCACGAAAGAGGCGATCGAGAACATTCGTCGACAAGATCGCAAGTAAATCCGGCTTCCACACACGTTATCTCGCGCACAAACAATCCCCCGTCGCTGCCGGAAACGAACATTGCACGTACTTGTCGCGAACGCGTATTTGAACCGGTGAGAATTCAACGACAATGGCGGAAGGACGGTATGTAGCGGCATGGCGATCGTCTACTGCGCAGGCGGCCGTGCTCCGAGCCGTGTGGAACCCGTAGCGCGTGACGCGTATGACGTAGGCCGACGTCACAGCGACGTCGCTGTGACGTAGGCCTACGTCATGCGCGTCACGGGGTCCACACGGCTCGCAGCACGGCCTCTTGCGCAGTAGACGATCGCCACGCCGCAACATACCGTCCTTCCGCCATTGTCGTTGAATTCTCACCGGTTCAAATACGCGTTCGCGACAAGTACGTGCAATGTTCGTTTCCGGCAGCGACGGGGGATTGTTTGTGCGCGAGATAACGTGTGTGGAAGCCGGATTTACTTGCGATCTTGTCGACGAATGTTCTCGATCGCCTCTTTCGTGCTTTTCGTTGCGATCGAGTACAGTGGAATCGCGAAGTTAGCCGCGTTCGCGGAATACCGGAGACTAAATGAGGTGAATTTTGCGTCTCTTTTCGACCCGGCTCGTCGAAATTATGTGAATATATATTTTCGTGCGTATTGAGTCTCATGTGTATATGTAATGTGCTTCAGGTGCAGTAAAGGGAGAAAACGAAAGCGGAGGATGTCTATTCCAGTGGATCTTCGAAGTGTCCAGCAACGGCCGCGAATGAACTTTCCGTCTTCACCGTTCGGACACAAAGGCAAGACTGAGTAATTGGATCGGATTTGTCAGGTACGAATTTCATTTTTGACTCGTTATGCGCCGTCTTGGCATTCGAGATCGCATTTTAGACAGTAGGTCGTACAGTCCATCGATAATTCCACGCGTTGGGACACTATTTTACGGGATTCACGCGTTTCGTAGCACGGCTGCTCGCGCAAACGTATAGCGTCTTTCGTCGTCAATTTCGTCAATTCAAACGCGCCAGTGCGATGCTTGTTCGGGACAACGACGCGGAATTGATCGTACGTAAAACAATGCGTGTGGCAGTTGAATAGGTTTTTTTTAGACGTAATTAATAATTATTCGCCTGGGGTATTTTTGATATTCCAACATTATGTCTCAATTTTTATTATTTCTTTTAATGATTCATATTTAAATAAGCAAAGAATATTCTATATATGTTCCTTAAAGATACATGCACATTTCCTTAATATCGTAAAATAATTTGTGTTAATTACAGCTTTGGCTAAAAGTACTAAATATCTCGTTAATCATTATTTAATTTTTCAGTTAATAAATTAATTTAAGATACTACTGTTACTGCAAATTATCTGTGTTTCAGAAATTCTTTAAACTTACGTATAACGCCGATTGCTCGATAAAATAACATACGAATTATTAAAAAGAAAAAACGTAAAATAAGTTTCAGAAACATAATTAAAATACAAAATCGTAGAAATTTATAAAAAGCAGATACGATTTGTTTAAAATAAAAAATATAAAATGGTTTCAGGAAATTTATATAAAATATTAAATAAGAAGTAAGTCAGAAGTGTAGTTATTTAAAATAATGAATATTACTCGTATAAATAATTCTTTTAATTTTTTATTTAAATTGTATACTTTAATTTTCGTCGCTTTTACAAGTATATAAAAATTTTTTAATGGTTCTTGAATATATCTTGACATCTTTAGAAAGTATTTTAAAGTTGTATATATTAATAACAAATTATATATAAATTGTTATAACTAAATATAGTTAACAAAATGGTAAGTATGTACTTTTTCATACAAAAATTTAAAACTCTGAATAAAAAAAAAGTTAAAAAATTTTTTACTTTTTTTCGTTTTTAGTATAACATCCACAGCACCACATCAGGATTTTGCGTTTACTTGAATCCTGTAAAAAGATTTTTTATTCCATTTAATCAATTCGGAAATTTTGATCAAACTGCAATGTCGATAATTGGGTCTCTCCAGCATCCCCTTTAAATTCAACCACTTTTATTTACATGTGTAGGAAATGCGAAATGAATAGTCGGCACGATTTTGTCCTGAGGATTTAGTACAGAGACGAACCACATCTACTTTCGACGATACGATTTTATCGATACTGTTGGAAAGTATATATTACTGTCACGTAGTTCCCAAACTGAAAATGAGTGTAATGGCGGTAGTGTACGGGTGATTTTGACGGTAACAGGAGGAAGACCGGCATGGCCTTTCTCAGGGTTCTCTCTGGTCGTCGGTCGAAGCTTCGTGATTTAAAGATGGCCGCCAGTTGAGAAGTGCGCAGTGGATACGGTGTGTGGATGTGTGCGTTAGTATTTCGATATCGGTCGTCTCGTCTCGGGGCAGTGAGTTCGCATCGTCTCGTGTCCAAGGCGGTTAGCCCAACTCTTTCCGAAATCGCGACTGCATCAGATAGAGGAAAAACGATTGAGCTCGGAGAAATGGGCCGGTCGCGTTCTCGATCGAAATCGCCGAGCAGACGGCGTCACAAAAGCAAGCATTCGCGCAAGCGGTCGAAATCGCGCGAGAAGCACTCCAACAACAAGTACTCGGACAAGCCGAAGGAGCGCAGCTCCAAGTCCAGGTACGTTTCGTCCTCGACGAGCGGATCGCCGTGTATCTACGCGTCGTTTCCGCTCGTTAGGAAAATTCTCAATCTGCCGTGTGTGCGGCCATCTTGTCGCACCCCGTGGGTTTACAACGTGTTCGCGGCGAGCGTAAAATAAATAAATGGAAACATAATTGTACGAATCTGCCGACTGTCCGCGTATCTTAGGTCTTACACCCCAGTTTTTATTTTCGTCAGAATCGAACTTAACCTGATGATGTAAAAATTGTATTTCTCTACCTGTGGCTAAACTGATTATTTTATAACTTTGAATGCGTTCCAGTAAAAGACGGATAACAGTGTAATACTGACTACTATCCGAAAAGATCGAATAACTTTGGGTGTTTTCTAGCATAAACTAAATAACGCTGACTATTCTCTTTTTAGAGAATGTAGTCGATACAGATATCAGTCTGTCTTTGTTATTCATTGAATATCAACAAGAATAGAATGACCTTTGTGTCGATGTCTCCTAAAAGGAAAGCATTCACTGTTTTCTTTTTTTTATTGGAAAACACTCAAAGTTATTCAATCTCCTAAAAAGATAGCAGCCACAGTAAATCATTATATCTTTGTTGTTTGCTGATATTAAACAAAGATACAGCAAGAAACAGTATATCACATTTTATCTATGTTTAACATTAGCAAATAACAAGGATGTAATGATTCATTATGTCATATCAGTTTATTGATTAATCATAGCTAGAAAAATATCATTTTTATATCATCATCAAGTTAAGTGAGACTAAATGTATACAAGTTAATGAGAAAATGAAAAATCAAGCCTTGTCGTCGCTGTTATAAATTCTTTGCTTTTACATACATTCCTTGGCGACATTCAGTTCAATAAACAATTAATGCTACTTGTTTGGTCATTTGTTCAGAAAACGATCCCATTCCGCGTCGTCCAGCACTGGTACGGATGTATCAGATGATGTGCACATCGTCAGTCACAAGAAACGTTCGTACAGGGACAGGGATCGAAAGATGGACGAGGTGGAAAGGCTTGCGGAAATGGAGCGGCAAAGGTATATTCGTTGAATTATGTCGACAATGTTCCTCTTGATAATCCGCGTTAAGATTGAAGAAAAGAACAAACAATATATTAATGCGTTTCTCCTTTTCTCTCTTTTCTTATATTGCTTTTGCTCTCTCTTGTGTATATCAAGTGGAACATGTATATTTATTTTGCTTAATTTAAATTTTTGTTATACGCTATTTTTTTTATAATTGTGTTATCAGGAAAAAGAAAGAATTAATGAACAAAATCTTCACTACGAGCTCAGTTGGGTAAGAATGTGTAATTATTTCATGGTGGTGGTTTATCTATTTAAAATTCACCAGTTTACTGTAATACGTTTTAGTAAAAGAATATGCTTGATGCATTTGCAAGTATCAAATTTTGTAACATCTTTTTTTACCGCTATTATATTCAACAAAATGTTTGTTTAAATTATTATCAATTGATTCTGAGATTTGTAACTTTTAAAGTCTAATTAAGATTTAGCATGCTATTAACTTTACTTTTATACAAGAAAATAATTTCAAAATAGTGTTCTGGAAGAAGATCGCTGCTTATCTGTCTGCAGACGTCAACGCGAGGTGGAACAAAAGATGGTGGAAGAAGAAGCAGCCAAACGTATAGAAGAGCTTGTACAAAAGAGGGTAGAAGAGGAGCTTGAGAAACGTAAGGAAGAAATTGATGCAGAGGTGCAAAGGCGGGTGGAAGAAGCCAAGAGGGCTATGGAGCGTCAAATGATGGAGGAAATGGAATGGAGACAAGCAAAACTACGAGAGGAGGAGAAACGAAGAGAGGTAAGATCTATCCATAGAAATATTGGTCAGTGATAGCCCAAGCGCTGTTGTGATCAGCAGGAAATAAATTTTAGCATTCTTTTAGCGACTTTTCCGAAACTGAGAGGCATACGTAGAAATGTATTTTTGCAAAGCTTAAAATCTTAGCTAATTATGTTTATAATAAAAATTTCTAAGGAACTATATTTGGAGACACTGATAGTGTCTCGGCGCTAAAATACGCGCAGCGATTAAGGTTCACACGCACAGACTATCAAATCTGTAATAAATAAAGAAAACATTTAGAAAATATTAGTGTTAATTGTAATTGTTAGGCTGGATCAAATGCAATTTGTAAATCTTTGTACATATTCAAATTTTGATGGCTTAAAATTACAAGATTTGCAAATCGTACTGTCTTTAGGAAAATGTATGATTGAACCTGTGGAATCAACTCTCTATTAGTTTTAATTTATGATCACAGCGTTTGGGCTAGAAGCATTGTGGTTCGCAATTATATCATAAAAAATTAAACGGAGAAACCACACTGCTTCAACTTCTCAGCATCCACTGAGGTCGCGTTGTTGAGAAGCTGTATTTTATGTTATTATGAAAGAAATGCTGCTACATAGGCGCATGTATCGGTTATTTATGATCAAATTGTACCATGTATATATATATTTATATATTTATATATCTCTGTACAACATTATAACCTTTTTCATCACACGATATCTGAATTGACATTCGTGTCAACAATTCTAGAAGTTGTACTTAAACTGATCTGATTTCTTTGAATCGGCGGTGTTCACTCAGTTTCTAAAATTGTTGTGCATGTTGGCGAATCTACCTATATCAGGCTTCTTATATACTTACTCGAGCTAGTTTAAAAAAATGTTCGCGTGTGTGACTGTCCACATTATCACATCATACAGTCTTTAACAGAGCAGAAGAGAAAATATTATTGAAAAAGTAACAATCCCAAACTTTGTAATTTATCGAACAAGAGAAGTTTTTCTTGAGTATGAAATAAAGTTATTTTTATATGAAATCATAGGAAGGTAATATTCTTCCCTGAGCAGTTATTAATCGGTTAAATCACTGTAGTGATAATATTACGTTATTGATGTTGCATAAAACATATATGTCAAATACTATAAATAAGAATAGTTTACAATCCACTATAAATTTAGACTTTCTTGATTTAATTATATACATATAATTACTACTATGATGTATATACGTAGATATACAGAAATGTAAAAGTATTATTTTTTATGATTATGATTCTTACATCATTATATCTTGCTTAAGAAAAAAATATTTTGAATATATTCTCTATGAATCGAATAAGTATTGTCTTTTGAATTCAATATTGACGCAATAATGCCTAATAATTTATTTCTGCAGTATTATTCCACTTTTTAAGTTTGACTTTTTATTTTATTTGATAGTTATTATTACTTAAAAGTATAGCACCGAATTACAGTGAAGCATTCTGTTATGTAATTTACACATCAGAGAGCTCTAATAGTTTCGTCACAAAATTTCTTTTTATTTTATTTCGTGATTAGGATTTTATTTGCTGCTACATTTTTGTGTTTATGCACAACATTTACTTTCATCTTTAAAAAGTCAACTCGCTCGTTGATTGGCAACAATCCTGATAACAAATTTGTTAGAGATTATACTCTCATTGCGCTTTGCACATTGGATTTGCACCGAATATGTATATCTCTACAAGTTTGGGAAAAAGTTTATTCGAATGGGAAAAATAGAGACTTTAAGGGGGCAGAATTAGAATCCCATAGCGACAAAGCACGACCTAGCGATATATAGGTCACCTTCCTTACTGACTACCAACAGAAGATGCCGGTTTTTTACTCACTGCTGAATGATTCTCGATGAAGAAGGCATCCCCTACGTGGTGGCGTGAGCTTCATTCAGGTATTATCCAATTTATATATTCATAATTCATTTTATACCGATCTTATTATCATCGTTCTTTGTTTCAACACTTTGTACCAGAGAGAGAGCCATATATGTTAGGGTTCATTCTATAGATTCGCAAAACATTATTACCATGGGACACAACGAATTTCCATCGACAGGTCGGGCGGATGGCAACAACCATTCATATAAATGTACTGTAGGATATTAGTTTCTGAATTATTATATACAGACCTCATTTAGAAATCTCGCTTATAGTTATAATGTTACAAATAATATTACACAGAAACACATACATATACACTTATCACATTGAGTTTTTATTATGCACTTGTCAAAACGGTATTATAAAAAAGAAAATAAATTTTTTTTCATATATATTCTTGCATGCACACTAATTTGTATAAACTTATAAAAGATTAATCTTTTCTTACATTCAAGTAACATCCTAAATTATTGTATTTACCTTTGGACAGTCTAAGATAAAACAGCGTTTGCTGGATTCTAAGAAGAACGCTTGATAAAAAAAAAGAACATTGCTTATAGACACACATCTTGTGTCACTCTCTGTAATTATCTCTCGTGCTAAGCCATCCTTTTTTCGAACTCCGACTTAAATTTTATATATCCCAACTTTCCTGCATAAAGGTTCTTAGGATGTGTAACACTAGGCTGTTGACATAGCAGCACTATGATTTCGAACGATGTAACAACAGATGGTGATCAACAACATCATTGCTTTGTGTAAACCTATTTTGTTGTCATTGTAGGAGGAAGAGCGGAAGAAGCGCGAGGAACTAGAGAGGATTATGGAGGAGAACAACAGAAAGATAGAGGAGGCTCAGAAGAAATTGGTAAGTTGTGTCGGTATTAATATAACTTACGAAATGTATGTGTGAGATATTATTATGCAACAAATGTATTTATAACGTCAGGCTGAGGAAAGGTTGGCCATGGTTGAAGAACAACGGTTAATGGAAGAAGAAAGGCAAAAAATGAGAAAGGAACATGAAAAGCGTGTTAAGGAGGAGCAAAAGAGGATCTTAGGCAAAAATAATTCAAGGCCTAAGTTATCTTTTACATTAAAATCGGTTACGTAAGTTTAGTATTTGTATTGTTTCATGCAGTTTTACATGTGATATATACACGAAATCTTGTCATCTTTCGTACTTGATTCGCGAGAATAGTTATAACCTGTATCTATGTAGGTATATAAGTATACTTATATAGATACATAGATAAGTGCTGTAATATAAGATACAAAGCTCACCCTAATGTATTCAAATGTTCGTTGAAGTCATACAAGATGGAATTTTATTTATGATTGATGATGCTAGCATACATCAAAATTAAATAATCAGTTTTCATCTTGTGAGATTTCAACACATATACAGATGGGATTTCATGTTACATGAGATTATGCTAATATCAGTATGAACGAATAATAAGTTTGTAATGTAAAATTATCGCACTTTGTACATCATACTTTTGTGTGTAATTAATTCGTTTACTGATATAAGCATATTCTAGTTTGTTTAGATGTGTTCCATGATTTATACATACACTATTTGTACATCATAGGTCCTCTATTCTATTATTTTATATATCATTTCGATATATAAAAATCAGTTTTATTTCAGTAAAATAAATCGTATATATCACATTAGATCATGTTGCAATAATAGTAAATTGATTGTTTATACAGTTAAATTGGCCGAATGGAATTTGTTAATGGAAGATACGCTCACATTATTTCCCTTTTTTAAACAGTTGTTTTTTATGAACAACCTCCACGATAATAATGTTCGCAATGATTTTATTGGAAGTACTGTAACTATTGGACAACTATTTTACAATTATATTAAGATTATATATTATCTAAATAATGTACATTATCTCGATTTGACGCAGAATATATTCTGCAAAACGGCAAAATGGAACGATATACGTTTTACGATTAAAAAATCAAATGAAGTAATATAAAGATTTAAAAAGTTGCAATAGTGATTTTGTACGTGAGTAATGAATGTGGACACGTGAAGCGTGACACAATCCTATCTACGTTAACCGTGTAATAACGTGTATGCATTGTTCCGTAAAAAGAAAAACATTTTGTCTAAACAGGATTGTATACCTATAGCATTGTTATTTGTAACATAAACACGTTTTTAATAAATCGTTGCTCTTTAATTATTTTTCCATTTACCATGCGTTAGACAACATATAATATAAAAAAAAGAAAATTGTTTTTTTATACAAGTGATTTATGACATTTTGTTTATATGCTAATATACGAAATTGCTTGCGTTATATCTAACCGATTATGATAGAGATTGCGACAGTTCTTTGCAATATAGACTTTCTGATAGATGAATTTCAGAATTGTTATTTTATACAATTACTTATTACAGTTATATATTACGTTGATGATTTCGGCGTCACGAATAAACCCTTGCCACGAATGCCAAGACTCGCGCCTTGTCCCAAAATATTCACGCCGTAAAATGGATTACGTTGCTTGTAAATACATTCGAATTTTCCTTGGGATGTTTTTTTGTTTTTACGCCGATCCAAGATTACTAAAGATTGTAACGTGTATATAATGTAACTTAATATGTAAATATATTTTCATTTCTGTAATCAGCGTACTTTTCATTGCGTCTTCAATGACTTCCGGATAGAGTTTCGCGGTAACTTCGCTGCTTGGAGGATGCAATCGTGGATTTGTATTTATTTCTAACAGCCACACCGAAAAATCGTCGGCCACGACGAAATCAGCGCCATACAATTGAAAGCTGTTTTTACGATTTACCATATTATCCTGAGATGCCAGAAGTGCTCCTATCAGATTTTGTTTTATTCCCGGCCTAATAATCTTTTCCCAAGCCAATTTTTGACCGCGTGATCTAAATCGGTAATTAGTTGATTGACTGAACAGTTTTTTAATTCTCATAAGAGATAATATAAAAAGTACTGGAGATAATCCTTGAAATCTTGAAGATTCCAATGACGTTGCTCAGGTAAGTCAGAATTGCATCTCGGTAACTGTCGATACTTCAACTGTACCGTCGTGTTGCACAGGTGAATAGACTCGTGAAAATCACTGAGAGTGAAATCTTTTGAAGCGAATCGTATCAAGATATCCCTAATTAGATAACTTAAGTTATTAAGAGCTCTGCAGTAAAAATTCGAAATTAAAAAAAAATGATAAATGTACTTGAACATCCATACGACAAGAGGTTGTGTACTCGTTATTAGAAACCATTGCCTGATGTCTATTTTTGTTTTATGAACAAGCAGTGGTCGCTCTACAAATTGTAATTGCAAATGTGATAAATAACATCGTTTAAAAACTTTATTTTACATAATATTTAGCATTAAATGCAAATGATACGTGCCTATGTATTTCTGCACGACATACTCGATATTTTCTTTCGCTGCTTGATTCACCTTGGCAATGATATCAACCAAAGAACTTTTTAGAACAATTCCGCGACCTAAACTGTCGTCACCTGGTTTTAAAATCCATATATTTCTTATACCGTCGATGATACTTTGCGGTCGATATTTTATCATTGCTTTCATTACATCGTGCACAGATACTACAAACTCCTGTAAAGTCCAGAATTCTTTCAATATTTCTAACAATATTTGTCTTTTTCTTTTAAATTGTTGCACATCAGTATATGCCGTTAAAAAAGAGAAATCGCACTGTAATATTTATGCGTACATTTATGTTAACTTCGTCGGTTTCTTTCAATACAACGCGTTTGTATATTATATCATGATGCCAATCTAAAAATTGATCCCAGGCAGGAGGTGTATACTCACAATCTGTACGGTCTATGTCCTCGTGTATTTGAATGCTAAAAATATTTCGTACCAGTACTTTTATAATATAATTTTAGAAATCAGTAATATTGCTTACAACCTTATATATTCTTCACAGCGTTCCAAGGCGAACGAAATCGCATTTATAGGGATTGTTCCATTTGGGGACCAGGTATTTTTCGGGCCTACCAAGTTGGCGAGTAACGTAAACCATTTTAAAATCCCGAAACATGCAGTGATATAATAATCTTGTATAAATTCCTCCATTTGCGCTGACTATTCAAACAACTCTCATAAATATAAGGTAATGTAATGTATATATTAACATTTTAATGTCGTAATTTACATACATATACACATAATAGAGAGTGGGTCAGGATGAACGATACAACCGGAAGTTATTCTATATGCAAGAATAATACAAGAGGTTATTTTACATTCAAAAATAAATTAAAAATGTAGAATAAACTTTTTCATATTCATATCATCATCAAAAATTGTTCTACATTTTGACTTATTTTTGCTTGTAGAATAACTGTCCGGTTGTACTATCTGTCCTGGCTCACTTTGTATTTACTTGATAGAAATTATAGCATCGAGGAAATTGTATATTTGACACACCAGTTTCGTAAAACCAATAGGCTTTTTCCAAGTTGTTACACATATCAACCTAAAAATATTTTGCTAATTAAAAATTATTTATTTTGCAATGCATGACACATATGCATTTATGAATCGAATTACCTTGGATGTAAAATAGCTACCAGCAAATTTATTCACGATAGTCTTGTCGTCCGTTCTTATAGCAGGTCTCTTATTCGTATACCATATAAAATCTGCAGGTGTCCGGAGTAATTTTTCTAACTGCTGTAAACCGTCTGAAGAAAGAAGACATCGACTTTTAAATTGATAATTGATAATGATCATAAATCGATACAAAAAATACGACCTTCGTACGCATTAGGAGGGATTGATATCATTTTCCTGATGGCTTTTTTATCAATCCAACCTCTATCCGTCAACGGTTTCCTTAGAACTGGAAACGTGCCGCAAATCACATAGCATTTGTGCTCGTCCATAGCTTTCATTAAAATTTTCAGTAAAAGATTTATTCTGGCTTCGTCGTTTGTTACCAATTTTAAATAATCCGTCAATATTATGTTTCCGTTTTCCCGATCGCTCTCTTTATCCGCTCTTAATAATTCTTTAAGATCTTCACGATTGCAACAGATCTCGGCATCCGCGGTTTTGATTGTCTCTACCGCACATTGTGAATTGATCTTCAATTTTGGAACCGTTAAAATAAATTGCAAATTTTTTTCATCGGTATTTACATCTTTTGGACATATCTACGGTTTTATGAAGCGACGTTGCTGATAGTAAAATAAATCACGGAAATTTGTAGTGAATATATATGTAATCCATTCTTTTAATGCTTGTCTACCTGCCAACCTTCGAAATGTTTTTTGATCGTGCAATTTTTCGAGGATAAAATTATTTGCCATTTAGATTGACTGTCAATGCAAACTACCGAATTATCACTGTCGCAATGCATTTTATGTTTAAATTTCAAAGTTGTAAAAATTACGCTTTCAATTTTTTTATTTAAATATTTCTTTTATATATGCGCAAAATTTGGTCTTTTGACTTGACAATTTACTACGAAAAAGCAACAATTTACTGTTTCCGTTTTACTTTTTATCGATTATCGTGTAACTCGATGACCTACATTCATATTTCATGACGTGAATCTTCACTCACGACCAACAAACGTCATCACGATCGAAGATATAATATATGTATCTTGTGTCTTCTCAATTTTCTTGTTAACGTTTCATTCAATTAAATCTTTCCATTTGTCTCATTGTGTTTCTTATATCTATTCAATGTTTTCTTCATTGACTCATTTAGGTATTTCTCTATACACCGCAGGATTTTGAAAGACTGGCTTTTGAATCTCATCTATCTCGTACTTTTGATCTTTCGGGAACGTGGCAAATAATTTTCTTTTTTGTTCTTTGCATTCTTCTAATTGAGGATGCTTAAAATCTGGGCATTCTGATTGACCTTTTGGAGGAAAAACCTTTTCGTTATTTTTATTTTTACTCCGAGTAAATTCTTCAATCTTTTTCTTCACGTATTTATTTCTTACGTGTTTTTTTTGTCTTATCTCTTGTATTGTCTCTTCTACAATCGAATGCGCTAACATTGGCAAAACCTTTATTTTTTTATGGGAACATCTTAGTATTATCGGACTGGAAATTTTTTGCAAACAATGTAATTTAAATGATTGAAGTCGGGATTGTAATGAATTTATCTCGATTGCTTGAAGGTCTGTTTTTGTTTCTTTTTTTTCGATAAAACTATATATCCTAAAAATTGTTTTTCATACGGATAGAAGTAAAACGATCGTTAGAGGTATAATTGTAACATTTATTAGTTGTATACATATATCACTTGTAGATAGAATTAGAGAATCGATCAACAGTAAAGAGAAAAATAACGAGCAACGAGTGACTGACAGGTTGTTTTCAATTATTTGGTTAGACTCAAACCGACAGCATACATATCGGAGATGTCTGTTAACATTTTATTTTTTTTATAGTGCGTTTGTTTTTTAGGGAAGCTGCGACTCTTGCTCTTCGTCGTCGACACGGGTGTGACTTTCATAATTGGCGGTGTAAGTAGAGAAGGCAGTGGTGGTACTTCTGGCCGAATAGTTACGTTTCTTTTGTACTTCTTCACGGCATCTCGTATCGCTGTTTTGATGATCTAATAATAAAGAAATCAGGGATAAAAAAATTCGTTAATTAATTTTCAAATAATGACGAAAAGTTTGTATGAATATTAACATTATTAACCTTGTCCTCATTTTTTCTCAACGATTTCTCGGATTTAGGCGCCTCGTTTGATGATTCCTCTTGAAGAGCCATGATCTTCGAGATCAACGTTTGTCTCGGGGATGTATCCAGTTTGCTGCCTGCAGTGTTGATGGACATGCGTAACTTTCGTGCCGGTTTATGTGAAGATCTTTTTCCATTATTCGAAGATTTAGCGTGGTTCTATAAAACGTGTAAGGTTAAATATTAATGTTTATACATTAATCAAGCAGAACAAAAAATCACGATGATATCAAAGTGACTTTAAAATGATTATTAAAAGTCATTCGATCAATCACGATTTATTTTAACGTCATTTTTTAAATTATCACAACCTGTTCTGCTTAGATAACAGTCATAACGGCAAGTTGGATAGTCATTAATTTTAGAGAAGAAGGACCAATTTCTCTAAATAATAATTACCTGGACGTTAGTTTTGGATGGAATTGGTGATTTTGTTTTGTTGATAGATGTTGTACCTGCTGAAGTACTCTTTGTCATAGTTTCCGCTTTCTCATCAGAAATCGCTTTTAAAGGCTTCGTCGGTGCAGTCGCTGGAAGTGCTGGTCTCGACTTAAGCAAATCGGTGTTGTAATAAGAATACAATTCTTGATCGAGCTGAATCTCCAGTTCTTCGATAAGATCGACGATCACTGGCCCAATGTTGCTTTGTACCACTGATTTCTTTTTCGTCTGTCGATGGATAAATCAAATTCGAATCTCGAATCTAGCAATGCTATATCATCTTTGCCTAACTCACCATCGGAGATCTTGCGACTAAGTTAGATTTGGAATCTTGATACAGACTCGATTTCTTCTCGCAGGTGGTGATACGAGTACCTTGAAGCGACAGAGCTGCACCTAAGTACGGTTGGCAACTCGGCGTTCTTTGCTTATATGCTAACTCAAAGTCTCCAGTATCCGCATTTTTATCTTCTCGAAAATCTACTACGACTGTATCAGCAAAAATACAATTTTTTACCATAACAGTGTAATAATGTGAAAGGAAGATAGCAATGTTTAGATTAGATTGTTAATTACCTTTAATGGTATCTTCCATCACTTGTCGACACAATCGCGTAGTAACACTGGTAGAGTAGCTCATGTCCGGATGACTGTTGATCTCGATCAGCCATACGGAAAAGTCCTCCATGATCATAAAATCAGCGCCGTATAATTCAAAACTGTTTTTCCGTCGATCCATGGCCTCTTGACTAGCCAATAACGAGCCCACCAAACCTTGCTTTATTCCTGGATAGATCTGTTCATCCCACGCGTCAGCATGACCCTGAGAACTAAAGAATTTTCATGAGAACCATTCTTGCATATTGCTTTATTTAAAAAAAGAAAACTAAATGCATGAATAATACTTATAGTTACATAACAGAAATTCTGAAAAAATGCACAATTCTTTATGTGATGTATATCATACCTGAGGAACTCTTTGAATGTCGTTGCGTCCCACATATTGTCCGCGGGTAGAGCAGAATCTCTGTCGCCGCAGTTATTGTATTTGCATTGAATTGCGTGATTGCACAGGTGAATCGACTCGTGAAAGTCATCCAGACTGAATTTTTGCGAGCAAAAACGAAGATAGCTTTCTCTGTAAACAAGCAATAAGCTCGACAAAACGTCTTTTTGCCTTGACTGCTATTTTATTAGCGATAATTAAATGCAGATAGCATTGTGTTGTGTATACTGTCTGGATATTTATATCCGCAAGTTTGACTACAGAGAACAGAATTGCGCGTTTTAATGTCAACGAGGCATAAATTGATTATTACCCTACTTTTAAAACTATTATTCCTTAATCCTTATGATTGAATCCCTATTGTGCTTGTTAATTGTTCTAGCGTGAGCAATGTTACGATATGTCGTGACTTATTTACGTACTTATACATCCAGAGAGTTAAAGGTTGAGCACACGTCACGATGAACCATTGCCTTATGTCGAATTTTGTGTGGTGAATCAGTAACGGCCGTTCTAGAAATAATCAGATTATTTTTAACTGAACACGAATGAAAAACAAACACCTGCATTAATCAACTAGCGTTCCATTGAAATTATTAATCCGAAAGTTTTATTACCGATATATTTCTGCACGACATATCGCGTGTCCGGTTTGCCTGTTGGATTTACTTTCGCTACTACGTCCTCCAGCTTGTTCATCAGAACAATACCGCGTCCCCGACTTTTGTTCCCAGGTTTTAGAATCCACATGTTCATTACGCCGTCCATGTCAATCTGCGGCCAGTACTTCCTCATCTTCTTTAATACGTGCTTCGAAGCCAGGATATATTTCTGTTGACAAGTACGACATATTTTCAAATGATAGAAAGGTATTGAGAATAAATGCTTATAAGTAAGTGAAGAGAAAAAGGTTATTTGCTAGTAAATATCTCACGTTGAAGGGCACGTTGGTGCGAACGAAGAGAGCTTGATCGCGAACTATCTGATAATACCAATTGATAAATTGATCCCACTGATGAGACCAAACCTTTTCACCTTCCTGATCAATATCCTCGTGTGATTGGGCGCTGATATAGTCACTACATCTTTTGATCGCGAAGTCAAGAGCTTTGAGAGGCACGGTGCCGGTTGGTGAACGCACAACGTCTTCGTCCTCGGCATTGACTTTGTCCACCAACCATTTTAAGAGACTTAGACAGCCTGTGAGTCTAATGAAGCATCTTCGATCAGTTTTTTATTATCAACAATTGTGTATATTAAATATTTCCATAATTCGGACATGTATAGTGAAAAGTAGTTTTTCTTTTTTTAAGTTATCGGCAAACTCTCACCGAAAGTCCTCGACGAAAGCGTGCATCTGGTCGCTTTGACATATGTTGTAGCAACGTGGAAACAAAGTGTTAGCCACTCCAGCTTCGTAATACCAATGCATTTGCCTGACGCTTGAACACAAGCCCACCTGAATAATTGATTTTCAAAGAAGTACATGCAGCTTTATTTCTAACAATTGCCGTCACGCTCACGAAAAGCGTGCATTCTCGCCAATCTTTGCAAACATCTCTATGCTTAAAAAAAAGCAATTTTACGAAGGTCAAGCTCGCCAAGCTTTTGAGAGAAATTATTTGCAAATAGACTTCTGCTAATATTAGAAAAATCATTGTTTTACATTATGCGGGAACTGCGCTCAAAGAAAAATCAGAGAAACTATAAAGGTGACAACATACTTATTATTATTATAACTATAAAATAGTTTATTCAACTATACATTAATTCTACATACGAAACTTATATAATTGTTACCTTTATAGTTACTGCCACTTTTTTTCTAAGTGTAAAAATTAATACCTCATCAAAGTTAAAAATAGTTGATGCACGGATGTGCGTATGTGATACCTTAGATGTGAAGCCAGCTCGACAATATCGATTGAACACAGTAGTTTTATTATCTTGGGCAGGCCATCCGGGCCAGTCGGACCCAGTATTCCACAGGAAGTCAACGGTGTGATTGGCGAGCATCCTCGACATCAATAAACGTTCACTTTGCTGATCTTTTAAATCGCCGATACCAGCCAGTAGAAGCACTGGGTTAGAATCGACGTTGAAATGTTGATCACCTGAAATCATTGTTATCAATTCAAAGACAAACTAGACGTACTAGAAATAATTAGTCAAATCATTTCTGACTGGATGAAGTGAGTGACTGTGCTCAAATTACAACGTAGAAGAATTCTGCACCTTGCTGCACTTGAAAATAAAACTAAAATCGTCCATTAGAGTAATTATAAAATTGTACGTGATTTATTACCGCCGCTGTTCCTGCGATAAAATTTCTCACACCATCCTCGCTTCAACATGCAATCGCGAATGACCCGTGACTTGCCGTAAATCATAAAAGTATGATGGGCAGCTATAGCGTCCTTCACGGTTTGCTTAATACGCAAAAATCGTTCGTGAAGGGTTGGTTCTAAAGGCAGTTCTAAAGACGACTCACATTTGTTTTCCAGACAGTCTGGTTCCTCTTTAACAAAAATTGTAAACGATATATGGTTATAATATATTACTTATATACTTATTCTTGGTTATTGATATGAATATTTTAAACCTTTGAGGCATTTGATATCACAATCTGTCGCATCCGTCTTTGTCACCACTTCCTCTCCGGGATTTTCATCTTCATTCTCGATGTTTTCTTTTTTGTCTTTCTTGTCTTCGCTTGAGCTTTCCAGATTTGAAGAGGACCCATCCTTGGCATTCATGTAGTGGACCTACCACACAGCTTCCCGCGCAAATGCGTTAATTTTCACGTGTTCTTCATCGCTTCGATTGATTTCGACAAAAGATGTACTCAAAGGAAGCGCCGTTGTTTTAATCTGAAACTGCTTTTGCAAATATATTTACATTTACAATTTGTTACATCAGATCTGAAAACACGTATTATTTCTAATAAAACTAATCTGAACTCTTCGATACAATAATTTTCCAGTCCCATATTGCAGGCGATGAATCGTTCATGTTAATTGTCATCGTTTTTTAAAAATTATTAAGTGATTTTTACATCTTTAGTGTAGTTGTACTTTGACATCTTTAAAAAGTATTTGCAAGTTTGTGTATTAATTAAAAAAATTGTATATGAATGTTATAACTAATTACTTAATACTCCTAATATTTCAAAGAAAAAAAATGTGCAGAACATAAATGACTCAACCACGTATGAGGATTATCTAATGTTCAATGTAGAAAAATTCCAGAACTATGTTCCACCCAAGTACATGACACACACACTCACATATTATTTTACTAAATGTTGAATAAAGATAGTATAATACCTGGGGAGCACTCGGGGGAAGGGGGATCTGAACGCGCCCCCAAAAATATAATTTAACGCAAACGACGCGAGAATGAAGAGCATGTGCTTAGTTTTTAATAAAACTTAGTAGCTTGTAAAGAAGCTCACTGCGCCACTTCTGATACCTGTTGAATCCTCGTTGTTGTCCCAATAAATACATTCTTTGCAGATATTAACGAGTAAATATATTTGCAAGACCAATTAATGATCGTTGTTTCGAGGATCAAGTGGAGAATTAGTAGTCGCGAGGTAGATCGGTAGACTATTCGGGTGAAGATGAAAAACACTCCCGGATGGAAGTGGAGGCAAGACTGAACAACGACGATATGGACATACGCGAGTGAGGTGGTAGAATCTGATATTTCGCAGGCGCGCGCCTCAGGGGTGTTTTAAGGCGCCCCTTATCGAAATAGTAAGATCGCACTGATACTTCCCCGCGTTATCGAGGAAATCGTTTAATGAAATCTCCCTTGCTTCTCCCCCGAGCCATTAAAAGGAATTTCAATCAGCTCAGACTAACTGGAGAAAAAGTTCGATTCATAGGAAACTCTTTGCTGTACTGCCTTAATTATATTTTAACAGAATCTTTATAAGATTGCTTTGTCCATTTTTTCCTTGTGAAACAATAATTCTAATGTACCCAAAAATAAGTCTTATTTGAAATAAGATATTGGTTTTTACTAGTTTTTTCAGTAATTTTTATCTCTGACAAAGCATCCAAATATTGTACTATTAAACTATAAAGTTACAATTAAAAAATTGTTATATAAATGAAATTAATACATTTTTTTAGAGAAATTTAATATTGAAAATATTAACTTGTTATTTGGAAGTATTAAATTGTTATTGATTAATAATAATTAATTATAATATTATTTTTTAAATATTAAGAGCACTGTTGTTCAGTATTTTTAAGATTCGAAATAGGTAATGAAACACTATCTTCCAGTAGGTATCAAGTAAGTAATCGGATTTCTGTAAGGATATCCGATATGTGATAAGACATGCTATCAAGTACTTTCTAATTGTTACTTGGGGGATGCGTATATACAAAGAACAAGGTAAACGATTGTGTTAACCTGGGCAATAATGGTAAACGAAACGTTCCTGAACACGTGAGCCTCGCGGGTGGTAGTTGCAGAGCGCAACGAGGAGCGTACCAGGCACCTCCGCACACCCCCGTAACACACCCCCGTGCGACCTCCGGATCCGTTAGAATATAGGCGAGGAAGTCAAAGCGATCACGTGGCTAATCGGACCACACTTCGTTCCTCGACTTTGCATGCACTCTGACCTACTTACACGGCTGCATCTCCGTGACCGCGTGGAGAAGTCGCGGCAGGTGGTAGCCTGATGAATCGTTCGCTTGGCCTGGTATCGCTAATTATGAGAGGGCAGGAGGGGATAAATCTCGATCTCCGTTTGATAACTGGTCTATTTTCGGCAACTGGCCAAATTCCGTCTCTGACACTAAATTTAGCGTTGATCGCGTGTGAGATAAGGCGCGCGCGAGCTCAGCGTTGATCTCCCACTATACTTTGAAATTTTGAGGAATTGACTTAACGAAACATTAATAAAACGGAGAAACACAAAAAATCCGTGTGGTTGACATATTACTGTTGCTGACGAGCAGCATCGGCGACAGTAAAAGATGAAGTTGCCGATTACGTATCATCGCGTGTATATGTGAAGATATTCGTATAGGTATATGTAGGTACATATTTATACATACATGAGCAAATTTCCATGAAATGAATGAAATAATTACCGTAAAATAATAAAGTTACATATAACAAAGTAAAGTAAGTTCAAAAGTTACTGTTTGAAAATTTCACATATGTATGTCGTATCGTTACGTGGATCTTTGTTTAATTATCTAAACTTATTTTTCAATGCATAAGTTTCTTTCACGACATATATTATGCCAATGAGATATTATCTACTTTTTATTTAACTTATAAATAAGTATGTATTATTATTTATACCGAGTGAATGTCAAGGTTGCGCGACCTTTGGCGCATAGTAATAAAAATGTCGCTTTCTTCAACACAATAACGATGCGGTTCTCCAAAAATTTTATTTATGAACTTTTTCCGCTTATCCTATAAAAATAAATATTGTGATAAAATTTCGTAACATTCATTTTTATTACATTTATTATTAATTATTATATAATTACTATTTTTATAAATACGAATGTCAATGAACAGTTAAAGTTCGATATTTCGAATAATATATTCCTTGTTAAATTTAAGATTTGGTTGAGCGATATGACTTTCCGAGGTTTTTTTTATATTTAATTATATATTTTTATATTATATATTTTTATATTAATTATATTATACATACATTGCTATTTTCATTAAGAAATACAAATGTATTAGAAGGGACATCGTATAATATATATAATTTGATCGCTTACTTTCCTGACTTTGATATTTTTTTAATTTTTATCAAAATAACTCGACTATATTTAAATTTTAATTCAATTTATTTAGATACTATATCTGGAGACACTGGTAATGTCTCGGCGCTGAGCTACGCGCAGCAACACTGCTAATGTATACGGTAGTATAATTTATTATTACGTTTACAAATAATAAATTAATTTTATCTTGTCTGCCTTTCAGATATCTGCTTTTCTTGAAATAGCCCAGCTAACGCTAAATATTCATAGAAATTCGATTCGTATTTTTCAATATGCTGAATATTCTGATACGATGAAAGAATTGTTACAAAATATTCAAATGTTGATGAAATGTTCAGAATATTCCACGTACATATCACGAAAATCGTGAGCAAGCAGTACACATTTTCGCCGTGGAAGAACAGATAAGGCCGTGGTGGAGAGCTTGTTAACAAGAATCATCTGGGAGAGATAATATAAGAAGCGCAGCTCTTCACCTGTAAAGTAATCTACGCGGCTCCACTATAGGCTGCAACATCTCGTACTCATTTGGATCGCCTTCAGCAAATGCAGAACAATTGTCTACGCATCATACTTACCAATCTTCGGTATACATTAATTATTGATTTACACACTCTATCGGGTGTAAAACCTATTGATTCTGTTATTGCTCGAATGATCTCTCGTTCGTATAACGCCCATCATCAAATCCACTTTTCCGATAAGCCGAGAATTATAATCTAAAACAGTGCTGAGATTTACTTGCACATTTCAGCCGATTTGCAGCTTAGTTCCTACCTCTTACTTTACCAACCCGCGCGCAACCTAAATGCCGATCAGTGGGTGAAGTAAGGGAATCAAGCCGAAAATCGGTCGAAATGTGTAAATAAATCCCAGCACTGATCTAGAAGATCTACCTTTCCGCATTAAATGTCGTTTACAAAAATCTTTTACTCCGCTGCTTCCATAGATCACGCTCACTTTCTCTCGTCTTATACGATGCTCTGATATGTTTTTATCTTGCCTACTCTTGTTTTGCTATGTTGAAGAATCATCTTTATTTTTTATCTTTCCTGATTTGTTATAATGCCTTGTTTCACTTTTAATTTTTCATGTGTCGGGGTTTTTTTTGTAAATTTTCCCCTTTCTTGTCCACTCTAGAATTGAAATGCCTCTTCAAACCTTACCTTTCTGGTTTTATACAAGTTACAAAAACTTTCCCAAATACCGTTATTACTTGACTAATGAAAAAAATAAAATAAAATAAAAATAATCTGTAAAGAGTAGGGCTCTAAGGTGAAAGTGTGAAGTGTGTTTTAAAAGCAAAATTTTGTTTAACTCTTAACTAGGCACGCCTCCCGGCCAAACTTAGCACTGACAATGAGTGCCATACACTCAAAACGTAAGTAAAATCTTGCTTGTAAATTATTATAATAATGCGAAATGTTGAATCGGTTAAGGGTTAAAAACTTATTCAGGAACGACCAGACCAGGAATTTTTGGAAAAATTTAAAACATATGGAACATTCTCCAAATATGTAACGATATACATATAAATGAAATTTTTAACCGATATTTGAATGTTGTTCTTACATTCCGTAAATATTTCAGATTATTCTGGAATACTCTCGAAATGTTTTTTGGGGATTTTAGGAACCTTTTATAAATATTTTAGGAATATTTAGCGTTAGCTGAGAGTGCATTCCCAATAAAAAATTTGTCATGCATGAATATATATAAATATGTATAAACATGTATAAATATTCCCAACATACATAATTTTATATGAAATATGTTCATACATATTCATACATCATACATTAGTAGTATATTTTTATGCGGGATTCGTTTTAGCACAAAAACAACTTTTTCCTTTAGCAAAATTGCGTTCGATAAGTAGTTTTTGCGGGAGAGCAGGTTGAAGTCGACAAATAAGCGCAAAAATTATTTATCGAACGCAATTTCATTAAAGAAAAAAGTTGTTTGTTTTAGCATAAAGTATCACATCTTGTACTTCGCAGATGCGAATTTGAAAACCCCCCGTTTAATAATATATTAAAAAATATTATATAGTGTTTTCAAAATATTATAATAACTTATTTTAATTTTTTAATAATATTTATATAACATTCTAGGAATATTTTGTGCCTATAGGGTATAATTATACATGTTTATGAATATTTATACATGTTATGTATAAATGTATTTACACATATTCATGCATAAAAAATTTTACTGGGATTCTTATACAACGCGTTCTTATATATCAATATTACTGAGAGTAATATTTAAATGTAATATTCTCATCAATTGAACAATATAAGGACCTGCGCACAATAGAACAAATATTAAGATTTCAACCTAACAGATACCAGTTACACTGGAATACACGGTTTCTGATAGGTTGAAATCTTAATATTTATTCCTATTCCTAATATTTCCTCCGTTGCATTGGACGCAGGGTCTAAGGGCCTGCGCACAATAGAGGAACAAGAATTAGATATTAAGATTTCAACCTATCAGAAACCGTGTATTCCGATGTAATCAGTTTCTGATAGGTTAAAATCTTAATATCTAATTCCTGTTCCTCTATTGTGCTCAGGCTCTAATTGTAGCAAAAATGAAGGCTACTACATAGATGTCGCCATATTGAAAGTTAGACACTAGCACCTCTGAACTTAACGAGCAAAACTATTTAAACAATGTGAATTACTGGTAAGTTATCGTTTATTTGTATCATAAAATTAAATTATAATACTTTCAATAATTTCTATATTTTAAAATGTCTATCTGCTATATTTTTTTAGAAATGATCAAGGCGATTTCATTATTTTTATAATTAGTAGCTATGAACAATCAATAAAAACTTATAATAAATCAGCGTAATAAATCAGTATAATAAAAAAATAAGATGTTAGACTTAATTTCTATTTCGAAGTAAAAAAATCCGGTTTTTTTTTCGTGCTTGGTTCTGGACTGTGTTCCAAATTTACTGCCAGCATTGAAAATGATACAGTTTACGTTACATGCACTATAGATTTTCAGTAAATTTTGGAACAGACTCCTATTACCATCCGAGAGATCACTCAAAAAGTTATTCTATTAGCATTTTCGGCCCGGCCAGGTTTGCACCAACCTAGGTTGGATTAATGGTGTTTTATGCTCTCCTATTGGTAGAGCACTAGAAACGTAGGTATTCGTGTCCACCATTTTTACTCCTTTCCCCACTGTTTGTTCTCTCTTCAACCTTCTCTCTTCTCTCTTCAAGCTTCCAAGGCTGCTTTCCTTTTAGGAGACACAGTCGACACAAATCGACACAAGTATCGTTCTATCTTTGTCACTCTCTGAATATCAAGAAGGATAGAACGACATTTGTGTCGACTTGTGTC